TGTTTGTATTTATGGTGGTTTTCATTATAAAGGGAAAAATATAACTCTTGTTAGTCTCTTCAGCTTTGAGGCAGTATGCTGGTTTTGGCTGGGGCAGAGCTAATTTTCTTCACAGTAGCTAGTAAGGGGCTGTATTTTGCATTTGTACTGGACACAGCATTAATATAAAGAAGTTTTTGTTATTGCTGAGCAGTGCTTATATAGAGCCAAGGCCTTTTCTGTTTTCTGTACTGCCACAGTGGCAAGGAAGTTGGGGGTGCATGGGAGATTGGGAGGAGACACAGCCAGGACAGGTGACCCAAACTTACCAAAGGGATATTCCATCCCATATGACATCATGCTCAGTATATAGGGTGAGAGGAAGAAGGAGGAAGGGGGGGACATCTGGAGTGATGGTGTTTGTCTTCCCAAGGAACCTTTACACATGATGGGCCCTGCTCTCCTGGAGATGGCTGAGCACCTCCTGCCCATGGGAAGCAGTGAATTCATTCCTCATTTTGCTTTGCTTGTGTGTGCAGCCTTTGCTTTCCCTATTATTTATCTCAACCTGTGAGTTTTTAGCTTTTACCCTTCCAATTCTCTCCTCCATCCCACTGGTGAGGGAGTGAGAAGTGGCTTGGTCTGGCTGCTGCCTGGGGCTAAACCACGACAGGCAGGCAGTGGTAAGGCATTGTAGTACATTCCGATGAAGAATTTTCTCTCCTGATAGGAGATGCAGAATTTCTATCTTCCATTGAGTTCACTTCAGTTGAACTGTAAGAATTAAGCATAATTTCAGACCATGACTGGCTGGCACTTGCTTTGACAAATGAGTTTATGTGACATTACTTAGTACAACTATTCATTTTAGGTATCCTGGGTTGAATGTGGTGCTGCTATAAAAGGCTGTGTACTCATGGGAAAAGTTCGCCCAGGCACCAGTGCATTTTCGTGTGAAAAACCTGAGACAATTTCTCAGTTCAGACTTTGATCGTTTATGATGTTTTCTGGGCTTGGGTTTTGTTTTGTTCTGGGTTTTTCCCAATTCTTTTTTCATCCTAATAATATTTGCTCTAAGCTCAGTATCACCTGCATGTCAATATACCTCCCATTCTGCTCAGTCTTTAAAACTACAGGTTTGCTGGGGGAGGTTTTTGAGTAACTGAACAGCTGCAGCTGATAATGGTATCACATTGATTCTCTGTGCATTGCCACTGTTGCATAATGCTGAAAATAACAGCATTTATATTTTAAATCTGCCATTAAATGAAATTTAATGGGGCTTTTTAAAACTATAGGCATAACTCATATTTATCTGAGATACTTACAAATAGAGATCAGAATTTTGACCCCCGTTAGTTTATGCTGTTGTTTTTCCTTTTTCAGTTTCTTCAGAAGACCTGAACTACCAAAGTTCTTTCAGTTTTGGCAGCAATGCTTTGTATGGCTACAACTTTCACTTGAAATTTTGCATATATTCTTGATACTATAAAAGATTGTAATATTTTTTTTCCTCTGACTAATACACTCACTCTTACACACATCTGCATATGACTAACAGAGAGATTCAGTGCTCACTACAGTGATTTCTTTAATGAAGGAGTAGGGACAATGATTCTTTTGTTTTAGCATCCTTTAGTAGGTGCAGAGGTGGGGGAGAATTAAACACGGGGGAGAGGAAAGAGAATCACATTCTTGCTGTTACCGTGTGCTCTTGGAAGCTGCTTACTGTGACAGGTCCAGCATGAGTGAAGAGAAACCTGCCTCCACTGCAGAAGGTTTAGAAGCTGTGTGCTGCTTGCCCAGGTAGCTCCAGGAGCTTCCACCTGCCCTGGCACTTCAGCAGGTACTTGAGCCCTGCATTTTAACATCATAATGAGCTGATGAGGCCAGATTTGCTCTTGCAGAACACTGACCAACTTGCTGGCCAAAGATTAATGGTTTGCTTTGTGGTACTCATTATATCAATGGCCTTCTGGGTGTTTGACTTAAATTGTGTCATTCGTACTGAGAAGAGAAAGTCCAAAAATTTTATCATATACAAAGTATTTTTGTATGACAGAGATACAAGGAAGAGAAACTTACAATTTTCTGAAACTACTTTTTTTCTGAGCTGTTTCTAGTGAAACCTTTTGAGTGTGAAGGTTCTTTGAGTCAGGGATTGTGTTTCTTTGATTTCCCTGTCCTTTTATATTTTGTGAATGATCAGTTTTCCATTTTGAACTACTGCTTCCCAGTTCTGTCTGCGGAAGTGGGAACATGGCAGGCCTTCCAATGGAATGTCCCTTCCTTGACCTGGACTGCAGGGATAGATGTGTGTTGAGGATGTTGCTGTTTGTTTCCCAAGTTGTGGAGTCTAAGTTTGTTACAAGATGTGCCCCAGATCAAGGGGGAAAAAAATAAAAAGGCATTGACTTAGTCTTTGGAGAGAAGAGCAGATTTAGTGCTGGATTTGGCTCTTTCTGATCCTTGGGACTCTTCTCCGGTAAATAGCCTGGAAGTGTAAACATGACCTAATCTTAGGAAATATTTTTGGTTCACTGCTGTCCCACCTACCCTTTAAGAGAAAGGCTGTTTGTCGCCCTGAGAAGCTCAGGTGCTGCCAGTACCATTTCTCCTCTGCTGATGTTTCTGACACACTTCAGCAGCTGCCCCCACTGCAGAGGCTGCTCAGGCTGTTACTGTTCATAGGTACCTAAGCCTTAGGTATGCAATTATGCATGACATCCTGCAGCTATCCTAAATTTTAAAGCTGTCTCTAACTGTAGCTTGCCCTTTGGTGGGTGACATGGGGACAATTCTAAGAGTCATCTCTTGACACAGTGGCAGGGACAAAGGGGTTACCTAGGACAGCTTGGAGAATGTGTTTACTCAGTCAGAACCACAGGGAGAGGTGTGTTTGGGCATGCACTGAGGTTGTAACAGCCTGCAGGTTTTTTTCTTCATGCACTGCTTCCCAGAGGTTATTTCTCTTTTGTGCTATTATTCTATTATTTTAATTTTTCTAAATATAGATTGGCCTCCATGCAAAGTGAAAGTCAGGTACACGTGGACATGTGTTTTGACTCAGATCCAAACTGGAAATACGACGTGAAGTGCAGGGATACTGGTGTTAATAGCCTAAGACTAAAATACCGGGTTTTTTAAACATCCTGGTGTTAACTCTCCTTTCTGCAGCCCTTAACAAGCTTATATTCTGCCCCACATGACATTCATCAAATTGTTTTGAAGGCACTTACCCCAGCCACGAGGAGTTTAGGTGCATTTTAAGCAAGGTAATTCTATTTGTCAGGTAACAGATTCACACATACAAGCAGGTAACTTCTTTTTTTTAAATTGAAACCCAACAGTTTTTAAGACACGTGTGGTTATGCATAGTGAGACTGGATTGAAACTGCATCCTTCATGCAGCTCTTGACAATGGGAATGATCTATTTGCATGACAAGTGCACACTATGGTTTCTTGTTGATTTGTGGGGGGATTGAGCATGACCATAGTTTTTCAGGTGCTGGTACCACATGGAGACAGCCTCTGTTTCAGAGCTCTCTCCAGCCACCATCCCCATTGCCAATCCAGCAGCTCACTGCTCAGCACCTTCCTGCACCCTTCTCATTCATCTGCAGCCAACACCAGCTCCCTGTTTACCAGCTAGGTATTGCTTCACTTCTGTGGTGGAAGTTATGCAACCTAACTATGGCCTTACATTTTCATCCATACTTAGCTGATTGCTGACCTTCAGCATTTTTGGCAGCTATACAGAGAGCATCACTAACAGGAACCAGTTGCAATGAAGAATATCATATTCTGTTGTGTCACACATCTCACACTACTGAATCACATTTGTAAGAGGAAATAGAGGAATGTAACATTTGGTTTAGAGCATAACTGTATAGTGGCATATTTTATATTTTTATGCATATTTTATATGCAGAAAAATTTATATTATTGTTATCTTTATAAGTCATCTTCTAGAGCCCACACATAAGGGATAAATCACATCACGTGAGAAGATTAAGGAAGATTAAATTCTTCACTTGCATATATCTCTTGGACTTCACTAGAATTGCATTCATCTGCTCTAAATTTGCTTTTTGTTATGTGACAAATCTGCTATTAGTGGTTGAGACTTCTGTTTTAATTGCAAAATAATGCCTATGCTTGTTTAGGTTTATCTGTCCCCTTGTGGACTTTTTTAGTGAGGTTCTTTTAAGTCTCTTGTTAAG